GTACTGCATATTGGCAGTCGGTCCAGAGTGCCTTCAGGTGGAATTACGTCCTACTTGCGTATGGTGTGGTAGCATTTTTAGCATCATTTAAAGCGGCAGGGCTTTATATGAATATACTTGCGATTGCTCAAGTCCTGGTAAGATATGATGATGGTGGTGACCAGGAACTTATTTAGCTTTGAGAAGTAACGTCTCTCAGAATTTGATAACAATGGGGAAAATGATGTTTCTAATGTGGTGAAATTTACATGGGAAACTGCCATTTAGAAAATTAAAAATGACTTCCCTCCAGGTTTTTGGATCTTCACGATGCTGGTGGTTCATCAGGCGCTCGCTATCCCTTATCACGACAGTCGCAATCCGGCTCATGATGCTGATTTAGCATATTACTCTCTATGGGCAGTAAGTGGGTGAATTATTCACGTTTGCGGAATTTTTCGCCCGTGTTTTTTCAGTTCATGGTGATACATCTTCTACTGTGGTATCAGTTCTTGACACTGTTATCATCCAATCCACTGTATTGTAGCCTAGTTGTGGTATTAATAACCGCTCATGCGAGCTTTCGCACCAGGGAATGGTCGCGGGTTGTGAAGGACACTATTAGGAAACGCAACGGACAAGTAAGGAAAACAATGTTGGAATAATTATGTTGGTTTTTCGTGTAGTTTTCTATTTTCTATTTTCTATTTTCTATTTTCTATTTCCTATTTTTTTCTGTTCAGCTGAGTTTAAGAGTTTACTGAGTAATTGTGGGAGTTTGTATACAAATTAGAGTAGAAATGTGCAGAAAGCAATAGAACTTTCCTAAAAGTTTCATATTGTCACTGTAGTTGACCATGTGCATATCCCCCCCCCCCACACTGATCGTGAAACCGTGATCAATTGGGTATAATTTTTAGATGGTGCATCTGCCTTCCCTGGTTGCGTATGGTATAGATTTTTATGAATATTTTCTCGTATTCATTTGTAACTTTGTTGAGTGTGTGTGTGGAATCATCCTACTGGGTTGAGTACCTATCTATTTTAGAGATTAATTTTTAAAGTGTTTATAGTTTGAATTATCGATATGATCAATATTGCTACATTGAAGGTCAGTGTTGGAGGAATATATGTACTCGCTTTCCTCAGCTGAGCTCAATAGGTTCTTCACGAATCGTAGGAGTTTATATACGAAAAGTGTACAGAAACTAACAAAATTTCCTCAGAGTTTTGATATTGTTACCTGTGGTTGACCATGTGCGAATTCTGTTACCACCCTTTTGAAGTCGGTCTATATTGTCTCAGGCGAGCACAGCTGAGCGACATCGCAGACAAGGGCAGAATAACTGGGATTCTCCGATGGAATAGTTGAGTGATTTTTGTATACCAAAATATTGTTGAATTCTCTGCTTGATGGAGTTCACCATTACTGCTGATCATAAGACTTTTCGTGCGTTGTCTGTGAGTATTTGTGTAGACGATGTGGGAGCGGAATGGTAGGGAATAAATGTTTAGTGAGAAGATCTGTGATGTTTATTTTTTTCGCTACCTATTTCATTGTTGTTGACTTTCAGCGTATTGTCGTTGTAGTTATTTTTATCGTCATGAAATGAACATGACAGACTCTAATACTCATAATATGCATTCATAGTTTTATTAATACTATGTAGATAAAACACTATTAATAACAATGGAGTTTCACCCTAGTGATATGAAAAACACTAGTGAAAAACATATTTCACGACTACTGCATATCACTGCGAATATCGCGTTTTTCACGGAGTTTTACGCCACTCCACGTAAAACGGGTTGTGAAACTCCAAAATACTACCTTGAGAGTTTTCTCTTAGCATTAAATTTTACTGTGTGCTGAAGTTTTTGTAGAAAATAAAAACAGCAAATTTGAAATTTTCCGTTTATCAGTTGATAAATTTCCGACTTCTCTTCCCTCACTTGAAAGGGAGGTATCTACGCAACATGAGCCGTGATGGTTCGTTTGCTGCTGCTGGTGGTCGAGGGACCTTCAGTGGAAGATATATCGATCAGAATGGCGAGCGCTATCGGAAGAACTCAGGGAAAGAGGTAAATCAAAGAGGATCGTCAGTGTTCGTGCTACTATGTGGGGCACTATGATGACCTCCGAGTGTCCTGGTCAGTGCTGGAGGAATAAATGTTCGCCCTCCTCAGCTGAGTTTGCTCGCTAATTATGGGAGTTTATATACGAATTTGGGTAGAAGTGTTCAGAAATGACATGTAGTTGTTTATGTGTAAATTTTCTCACACAGTTGCTGACTTATTTACTACTAGTAAATTCTCAACAATTTCAGGTCGAAAGTCACGTCGCGTATTGCGATGACGATGATGATTGTAGAAGTCTGAGTTACAGTAGCAGTGAAGCTGGGAGTAGTGAAGAGGCATCATCCATGGACGCTGAGAGAAGGTTAGTTCGGGTCACGTTTTATTGGCTAACACAACAGATATGCTTTTAAAAATGTGTAGTTCTAACACATCATACGATGGTAGCTTGAAAATTAAAAAAATGCGAAAAAAACTGCAAAAAATGAAAAAAATGGAAGAAGCATGCCAAAAATGTGCCAATAATAGGTGAAATCAGAGAAATAATTACACTGAGAATAATGCAATTTTCTTATAACCTGTGATTCTGCAATATCACTTGTTGTGTAATAGTTTTGGCAGTAACGGTAGATAGTTTGGAAATTTATCTGATAAAATTGACAGAATTTTGGTTGTTCTATTATTAAGAGTTGTAAGCGTACATGTCCTTTGATCAGGCCTGTGTGCTGTCGGGTCCCGGCACGTCATCATGAGGCACCTCCGAGTGTTGATCATCTACAGCATGCTAGAAATAGAGTACAGGGAGAAGTTGCTTACCGCGCGCGGTGTCGCAGGGATATTTTGAGTAGGATCAAATCCTAGACAGATTTTACTCACGGTTGCATTGGTGGGACCTTTGTGACCATCTAGTAGCTTCCTCTGTACATGTGTTGTGGTGATGTAGGATGCCATGTGCAGTTGTAGAATATCTAGATGTCAATCGGTTCCGTTATCATCATTAATACTTTTATGCTACTCGGCTATAATCGTGCGTCAAAATCTCACATTTTCAAATTTCTCCCACAAATTCTCACTACATACTCTTATACTTTCAATATGTGTCCCTCCTATGCGTTGCTTCCAAGTCATTAACTCTAAACGCCTGCCAACACTCTAATTCTACTTTTTTCAACGCATTCCTAAACCTACATCGTGCGTAATTTCAACACGTTTTATTGCACTTCTTGCAGTTAGGCAATTTGTGGACTCACGCAGTTCGAGCAATTTCGCAACCATTTGGCGAGAGTATCCCAAATGAAACCTTCAACTATTACTCCACACTGTGGAGTTCACGCTTTACTTTCATAACAAACCAAGTGCAAAAACCATGCAGGAAATGCACTATAACCCCCCTCCGTAGGAGCTAGAGCTTCCCCGTAGCGAAGCGACGCGGGCTGCTAGTATTTTTATAGGAGTGCTGACATAATCGTTCGCCCGAAAAAGTGCGCTAAAACGTTCAAACAACCAGCTTGACCAGCTCACATTCCGTTTCCTATATTTTGTATTCCGTTATTCTCAGCCAGTGTTGGAATAAATGTTCACTTTCCTCAGCTAGTCCTGATATTTTCTCACTAGTCATCATACAAATTCCGTTACAACTGTACAGAAACCAATGGAAATTTTCTCAGAATTTCCGCAAAAGTCACCTACACGTGAAGTTGAGCATGCGCATATTTTCCCACACGATTTTTAACTCAACTCTATGCTTTTCATTTTGCCATTGAGATGTATCGTGCAATTTT